GACAGGCTCTTGTCTGCACTTCTACAGCGAGAGTGGAGCAGTACTTCAGTTCGACCTGCTGTGTGATCATTCAGCCTGTTTCATATTTATTAAACCCAGACACACATGGCCCAAGTTGAAATGCGAGATGAAGCAACACCCGCCACCCCCCCACCATCTCACCCACCCCGCTCCTTCACCTCTACATATGCGCTGATACATCTGTACAGAACTGCTGTCGGTGCCTGCACTCGGCGGTTACGTAGACTATAATTACAAGCCCGCCGCACCTGACGCACGCCCCCCGCACCTGACGCACGGCGTGTTGCACCTAGATGCGCCACATGGAACTGCATTACTGCTGCTGTGTTGGCGGCTTGAGCGTACCTATGCGAGGCTCAATCGATACTAACCTTCGTCGTTAGGCTTCTGCTTCGCCTTGCCCCCGGCACGCTGCCCACTCTGGTGGCTGCTGATCCACCCTCCGGCTCGGGCGCACCACCACCGCCTCCAGCTGCGTCGCCAGGAGACGGGCTGGAGCCTGCTACGGAGAAAGGGATGGTGGCGGTCCCACCTCGACGTGCGAGTGCGAATTCTCCTGCTAACCTAGACCCATCTGGGGGGCTGCCGTACCCCTCATCTGGGTTGTGGTGCCTAGGCGTGCTGCGCCTGTGTGGCGTCTCGGAGGCGTCGGGGTCGAGTCCATGACGAGCACAACGACTCCAACAAGACGGTGGCCGCAAACAAAACCCTCCTCCAAATACGCACTCCCTCCTCGAGCCGACGCCGGCGTACACCCAGCACGCAACGCCGTAGCGCAGCCGCGGGGAGGCGGAGAACGCCTTCGCGCCCCGCGGCTACTGCGCGTATCCCCACCTTCTTTCAGCTACCCCCAACCCTTTCTCCGTTTTCGGAGGCCCAGAATTCCACGTATCAGGTCAGAACACTTCCTGCACGCGACGCGGGAAAAGCCATAGCGTGCCACGTTCCAGCACCCTCCCGAACAAACCTCCTCCGATACTCTCAGCTGCGAACTCACACATGTTCGGCCTTCGCATCGTACAGATTCGAACCCAGTGTAGTGTGCTGTTGCACCTGGTGTCGTTTCGCCACCCTGCCCTCTTCTCCAACAGGAAAAATCTCCTTGTTCAAAAAAAATATCCGGTCCTTAAACGAAAAACCTCCGGTCCCCCTTTTCCGGTTAGAAGTGCGGCGTAATCGCCTTACCCGGAAAAACACACCGCTACCGGAAAAACGGCCGCCTACCAGAAGTTTTCACCCTCTAGGGGAACCCCCGTATTGTCGGTGTAGACATATTCCTAGCAGGGGTCTGTTGAACACTTGCTGTCGTGTGCATGCCAGAGCGATTGTCTGCTTCTAGATCGGGGGCAAGCGAACGCGGATTCACCTTTTGGATGTCTTCCTGGTGAGCGTCTCCCGGGATAAGCATGCTAGACTAAGGACCCATGCCGGCTGGGCCTTCTCCGCCTCCACTGCCTTAGAGACCGCGCTGACTAGAACGGCTCTCCAGCGGCCCGCCGCTTGCCAGGAGCGGTGCACTCTGCTGACTGGCGGCGTCGGCGCGGTTCTACAGGATGTCGTGCGCAAGGTCGTCGTCGACGTTGTCGTCATCGTCGTCGTCGTCAGGGGGTGGGTCGGTGTCGAGGGTTTGGGTTCCCGTCTTGGCGCCGTCGCTAGCGCTGCTCTTATTGTCGCTGTCGCGACCGTCACCAACCAGTGCGTGAAAATATCCGCGATGGTGACCGCTCTGCGAGGGTGCTACGCTCGCAGACGCACCGGCGGATTCCCCCGCCTGGGCAGGCTTCGGCTGTCCCTCTTGGGGCTCAGCCGAGCCATGGTTGGTGGTGGCAGTAGCGTCGGGACGCGGCGTTGCTGGCGGTTTGGGCGTCAGCTTCTTAAGCTTTCTCTGCTGTTGCTGCTGTTGTTGCGACCCTTCATCCTTTTTCTTCCCTTGCTTCCTTGGATTGGAGCCCATGTTTCACACGTGGGTTGCAAAGATAGAACGCTTCGTCGAACGCCAATATGGATGCCCTCTACCCTGGGTGAGCGGAGAGTCCGGGGCTGTGGTGGCTATGTCCTGCCACCGGAGGTTGGCTATTTCCTTTGGTGCAATGTGGCGAGGAATGCCAAGCGTGGCCGAGCGAACTCAGTCAAGCTAGGGTGGTGCGGAAAGTGGGCGAGCCTTCGTGGACTCCTTTTCCCATTCTCCTCAATATCCATCAACTCTTCGCAGCCATTGGGGATCACAAGAGTTGGGGACCCTCGGAGAACAGTAATCTATTATCACATATTCCCTCAGATCCTACTCTATATGTACGTGTGTCTGTGCTCCCTGAATCTCCATATCCTGACCTCCACATCACCCCAGGATTTTTTCCCGTCAAAACTTGGCCCGCTTGTGGATTGGGACCACCTCTCTCTATGCATCGACGAGAAAAATTGAAGTACGAGGTGCTCTGTAGTCCCCGCTTGTGGCTTAAAGCACCCACGGGGCCCCCTTCACCATTGTTTCCCACCCACGCCATTCAGAAATAGCACGATGACCATGAAATGTGCCACGTTTGTGCTTCCTTCTGGTCGATAATTCGGGTGGCTCAGTTCTTTGTGTTGGGAGTGTAGAGTAGCTCGGCCATGACGGGCCGTGGATGGGTAGAAAACGTGGTGGGAAACGTGTTGGGAATCGTTTTGTATTCTTCAGGGGCGTGCTTGCGCTCGTAAATCAGTCACGGCATCAAGCACGCGTTACGCTCATCACGCTCAAAGTACCAAACGGATCTCTCTGAATCTCCATCAAACTCTTCTCACTTCCAAGGAAAACACCCAGACAGTTCTTGTTCCTTTGCATCTCATCACTGCAATTTGCGTAGGTATGTGCCAAAGATAACCCGTCATACTATGCTACGAGTACCCCCAATATATCGAATAGCCCCCCTGCTCGTATGCATCGTCATGATTCGACAAGAATCAATCTTATCCTCTTACCTTTTTCTCCAAAACAAGAAAAAAATCCTTCAAGGCATTCACAAGAAAAAATCTAACACAACCAAAATTCCTCCAAAACAACCAAGAAAAATCCCAACTCCAACACTCTTACCATCTTCACCAGACTCCCTCTTTCTCTTGTCCAATCTCGTCTCTGTCTTTCTCTCTCCACTACAGAATACGAATCGACCCCAAAACACTTCCTTCACTGCAAGTTCACCACAAAGTCACGGTGCAACGCAAAAGACTCCTTGCCAATAGCCTTCGTCAAGAAATCTGCATGCNGAATCGACCCCAAAACACTTCCTTCACTGCAAGTTCATCACAAAGTCACGGTGCAACGCAAAAGACTCCTTGCTAATGGCCTTCGTCAAGAAATCTGCATGCTGAAATTGCGTCGGCACATGAGTAATTGAAATCTCCTTCCTCTCTACCAGCTCCCTGATAAAGTGATGTCGTACATCGATGTGTTTCGAGTTGGAGTTCGTGATCGGGTTGTGCGCAATCTGAATCGCTCCCTGATTATCCTGGGACACCGGGATGCACGGCATACCCGCATTTGGCAACATTAAACGCCATACCTGCCTCAAGAACATCACTTCGTTCAAGACGTCGGCAATCGCCACATACTCTGCTTCCGTGGTGGAAAGCGTAACGCACTTCTGCGTTCGTGAAAACCAAGTCACACCCACACACACACATCACTAGCCCTCTTGACACCGATCTACGGTCGGTCGCCTTGATTGCATAGTCGGCATGCACAAACACCTGCATGCTCATCCCAGTCACCACTTCCCTCTCAAATGTAATCCCCATCCAACTCGTCCTACGTACGTACCCTAAACTACCGAGTGCTGCCTTCCAGTGCACCAGCTTGAGAGATGCACAATATNAGTCACACACCCTCCCCCACACATCACTAGCCCTCCTGACACCGATCTACGGTCTGTCGCCTTGCTTGCATAGTCGGCATCCACAAACACCTGCATGCTCATCCCAGTCACCACTCCCCTCTCAAATGTAATCCCCATCCAACTCGTCCTCCGTACGTACCCTAAAATACCGAGTGCTGCCTTCCAGTGCACCATCTTGGGAGATGCACAATACCGCGCTACTGCTCGTACTGCGTTCGCGATGTCCGGCCTTGTTTGAGTGGCCAACCACATCAGAGATCCTACCAACTCGCGAAAAGGGACATCAGGGCACACTTCGTTCTCGTCAAAGTCGGTTTGCTTCACGCTCACAGGCAAGTGCACACTCCTCCCCCACTCAATACCGTACTCTGCAGCCAACTCTTCGGCAAACCTCTGCTGCGAAATCTTCAACAGCCCTCTCTCTACGTCTCTCTCGTAAAAGCACGCGGAGTACCACCTCAACTCTCCAAGGTTTTTCACAGGGACCATCTCGTTGAGATCCCTGCCAAACTTGCCACATCTCTCCTTCTGCCCTACAANACCTCAACTCTCCAAGGTTTTTCACGGGGACCATCTCGTTGAGGTCCTCGCCAAACTTGTCACACCTCTCCTTCTGCCCTACAGCAAAAATGTCATCCACGTGGACCACGATGATCATGATCACACGTCCCTCCTCCATCAATCGAAAAACACATGCATCCGCCAGAAACCGCAAAAACCCAAAAGAAGCAAACACCTCGTCAGGTGCGCATGCCAATGTCGTGATGCCTGCTTTCAACCATACAGACTCTTGCACAACTTCACGATCAGGCCAGATAACCTACCACACCCCTGCGGTTTTTACATCCTCATCAAGCTCACACTGCACAAAAGCCTGCTGACAATCGAAATGGCACAAGTCAAGATTCTGCTCACATGCTAATGCTGCCAATAAGCGCACACTAGGCACGATGTGGTGGGTGCAAACAATTCTCCAAAATCAATCGATACCCTCTGCATGTCCCCCCGCGCTGCAAGTTTTGCCTTGAATTTCGTCGGCCATCCGTACTCGTCTGCCTTACAGTTAAGGACCCACTTAGCATTGATCGCGTTCTCTACTGGTTGCTACACCGGACTAAAAGTTCCTGCATCCAACAGACCGAAAAACTCTCGACCGTCTGCATCATCCCACAACTCTGAATGTTGAGACCGCATGGCCTCCTTGAACGTTTTCGGCACTCGGAGGTCGCTGACGAGGCAGTGAGGAAGGTTCGGCATCTTGTCGAGCGGGCGCTCGGCGCGGAGAGCGGCGTCCACATCCTCGCGGGTGGTGAACATCGATGCGAACATCTGCGGTCTCCCCCCCTCCCCGGAATCCACGGGCCCCCCAGCTCCCACAGCCCCCCCGCTTCCACGGCCTCCAGGACTCGGATCCGGCTGCGGCGGGGGCGGTAGGTCGCGGCGTCCTTGATCCACGGCCTCCCGGGTGGCGAGCGACGAGATGAGGGTGTCCTTGTCCATCATGTCCAACAGCTCAAGGCGGTGGTGGAGAGCGGTGCCGCCACCGGGTGGCGACGGCGGTTTTTGTTGCTCATCCATGAACCGCACTCCATCGCCGCGTGTGCGGCCGTGAACCCTCGTGTCCTCTCGTCCCAACTCCTTGACGGCTCGTTTCGAAAGCGGCGGGGGCGGAGGAGCGGGGGCGGCGGCGCTGGCGGGCGGCGGCGGCGGCGGTGGCGGCAGGCCCGAGGGCGCTCGGGGCAGCGTGGCTGCGGTCGACGGTGGGGCTGATGGTGGGGCGACAGAGATCGGCGACTGGTCTGAGGATCCTGTGAAGATCGGCGGGGAAGCGGACGGCGGCGGTGCGGTGGTTGCTGGTGCAGGCGGGGTGTACGTGTACGTCCTTGTTGGCGGGGGCGGCGGCGGTGCGGCATCGGCCGCAGGTACGGCGGCGGCCGGCGAGGGCGCCGCGGTGACCGAAGAATCCCCCCCGATGCCCGGCACCGGCGCCGGTGCTCCTGCCCGGCGGTTGACCCACACGAAGTTGTTGGTGAGGGCGAGGCGACCGGTGTCAGCGCGAAGAACGACGGCGGTAGACGTCGAGTGGTTGTTGGCGCCGTGCAGGTAGAAGCACCGCGCCGATTGGACGTCCGCCTAGGTGGCCCGCTTCACGCGCATCATCCCCTCCTGGACAAAAGGGACGACGGTGAGGGGCGGCTTCCGGCAGAAGAAGGCCTCGAACGGCGGCATCCAGCCCACGTTGGCCTTGTCGGTCCAATCGGACAGAAACGAAGGCCCCTCTGGATCTGTCACGCTGGTGAGAATGTTTTCCAGAAGAAAATGAGGCTCTCTTTCACCCGAAACATCACAAAGTTGGACAAAGAAACGTATATTGCTCGATGGTGGATCCTACACGAAAGCCTATCCTACGCTCGAAAGCAGTGGCCACGAAATAAGAAACTGAGTCTCGACCCACATTTGACGTTTGTTTCTTGTCAGCGGGTGCATACTGTATTCTGTCACGGTGGTAGCGAGGACGCGTATTGCATGCGTTTGCGGGATTGCAATTCAGCGAACTTTCATGTTCCCAACCGCGGCGAGATGTGGCGGGTCTGGTCTGTGTCGAACGGGGAGAGCCCAGACAACGCTATTTTCCTCTGCCCTTTTCCGAAAGCATGTCCCACCCCCGCCCTTTTTACGTGGCGTGGGGTGCATCCCGCGAGGTATACGTTTGCGGGATCACAAAAAATCACATGCGTACGGTTATAACTCACCAATGCGCTTCGTGGATGGGACGTCATCCTGCCCCCGTGAGTCCGGGCCCGCCCCCGGGTGGCGCTTCTGTTGCTGCTGACGGCCCCTGTCGTCGGGCAAACGGCGAAACGGCGACCCATGTTTCATAGTTCTTTCTGTTGATAGGTGTGCTCTGACCACGCAACGTGTTTCCGTCGTTTTCCCCCGTGGCTTCGTACAACTTAAAGGTTTCGAGAACAGCAACAGGTCCGAGCGGTCGCTTCTATTCGAGCAAACACAGTCGTCTGATTCTTCGCGCCAGGTGGTGGCCACTGCAATACGTCGATGGTGAAGATGGTGGCTGGAGAGTTGGCACAGATTCAGGTGTGCCAGGACTGAACCCTGGGGATATCTGAACCTCGGCTGTCGCGTGAGAACGGAGTAAAGTGCGAATATATTGTCTCTCTCTCTTTCCCGGAAATGTTTGGCGTAACCATGCCCCCACCCCCCTTGAACACGTTGCTGGATTTCTTGGTGTGTGCGTTATCCGCGCTTCTTTCGACATTGGCATTGCTTGTTTTCTGTCTCCTCGACCCCGTTGCGCCTGTCTGTGGATAGTGCGTTTTCTCACTTTGCTTTCTCTAGGTCCTCGTGTACGAGCCATATCCGTGACGAGTTCGTCTCTCAAGCCTTTTGATACTGTTGCGGCCGGCAGGTTGTGAACCCGGTAAAATGAGCAAAGGGTGCTAGGTGCAATATTGACGTAAGGAGGGACCACGGCTGGCTCAATTGCTGCCATTTTTTCCCGTATTGCTGTCAGGTGGCTTTCTCACATGTTGTTCGCCATTTGTTGCAGATGGTTTGGGGCGTAAGTCAACGCCAAGGCGGGCATACATGGGAGCGTCGCGTGCTTCCTGTAGCGAGCTACTATTACTTAGCCGGAGTATGTCGCAAGGCGCATGGTGTATACCGTAAACTGCGGAGTTTTCCCCACCTAGTACAGATTTTCCCCCCCCGAAGAAGATGACAGAGTGTACGAAAAGAGCGGTCATGCTGGACGGAGGACTGTCTAAATTCTTCGACATTGAGCAGGGGGTCTCACAACGTTTGCACGCTGTCCCCAACATTGTTCCAGGTGTTCATCAACGATCTGTTGGAAGTCGTCGAGGCAGTCCGGAAGGGAGTAAAGGTAAAGGGGACACGGAAACGTCGGTTTCAGGAATGCTGTTTGCGGATGATTTTGTCGGTATGTCGGACACCCCTGAGG